AAAAAAAAAAAAAAAAAAAAAGGAAAATGTTCACAAGGTATCACAAAAGAAAATGTAGTCTGAAAACCGCGGGCTGGCTAGACAGGATCTGTTATTATATGATTTTCTTTACCTTTTAAAATATTTTAAATATTTAATGGTATTTCTGAAAGCAGTTTTTAAGATTGTGCAATGTGACATCACATACACGTGTATGTTTTATATGTATATATAACTCCACAAATAATATTAACAAAAAGTGACAGCATAATTAATTATATAATATTAATCATATATATTAATATGATATACTATTAATACTCCATAATATATACATAATTAATACTAAGATTTTGGCATTCCCAGGACCCAGAGATACAGTGCAAAAACTAGGTGTTCATATGACAGCTGATTGCCATTTTTTCCTCTCTTTTGTCCCTCTTTCTAAGTGTATTTGTTAGGTCAGTCATTGTTTTGTTGGTGTCCTTTTGACCTATTATCCTTACGGTGCTTTTACGCAAGAACATGTCAGAGTATTCTGCCTGAATAAGTAAAATAGTAATTTTACGTCACACAGAGTTGTCAAATTAGGGTGACATACAGTCAGTACTTAATAAATACCTGTTGAATGAATAAATACATTCCATAAAATTTGTTTTTCAGAAGCCATGATAATTAAAATCAGTGAACAATGAAAATAATCATCAACCCCAGTTACCAACCCACTGAATTTTAGTCGCTGTCAGTGTAACCCAGTTCTAATCCAAAGAGATTGTTTGGAATCTCCTTCGAAGGCATTTGGCTGAAGATCGCTTTACACAGGGATGTGCATTTTTAAAATATACAACATTTCTCCTGCAAATCCCATGAGCTGTTTCCAACTCTGCCCCATAAAGATGGAAAATCACTGGTACCTTCATTTTCACAGACACATCCAAAGGAGAAGCACAACTTTATTTCAGGGAAATAAATGTGCAATACTTAGAAATGTACTGGCATCAAAATAATGAGTGAAAACACTCTTAAAATGACGAGGAGAGGAGCCCACCACGATCACTAATTCCTCAGTTTAAAGGCAAATGAAATTCCAGACTTTTGTTTAACTTCTCTGAAGCCAGTTCCTGGAAATGAGACTGGAAAGACACCCACCTGCCTGCCCTCCTCCATCCTGGGCAGATGCTGATACGAGAGACTGTGTACATGGGTGGGTGGCCTCGGGGCTTAGGCCTGCCAGGCCTCGGGGCTCAGGCCATGAAAGGCATGCTCCAGGCAGGACAGCTGGGAATTGCTCTGCACCCCTTGCGACAGTCAATCACTTCCTGCTGTGAATCTCCCACCCCTCTAACCCTTCAGGCCAGCGGCAGGGGCACCCGCAAAAGCTCTCAGAAGCTGCCAGGGCCCAGAGGAGGGTTGCAGGAGGCCCGTGCGACTGGCAAGTGGAGAATGTGTATGTAGGCTGCTTATCTTGATCCCCAGATTCCATGTGAGCTGGTGGCCCACATGGGGAGCTAAGCATCCCCTAGGCAGTGTTAAAATCAAAGAGAGGGCAGGGCGCCACCCCTCCCTGCACATGACCACTGGGCTCCTGTGCCGGTCTCTGCTTTTAACCCGGGCCAGCTGGGTCTGTAGAGGTGCCTGGGATTTGCTGAGTACACACCCACTACTTTGACTTACAGCCACACACAAAACTTACCGCTGCAATAGGATGGGGGAGAGAATGAGTGCAAAGGGGGTGTCCTGGCTTGAGGCCCGACAGCCTAAAAATGTAGCCGGCGTCAACCAATTGTGGTCACACTGGCGTCTCTGCACAAACCCAGCACTCCACGCCAGAGACTGCTGTCTCGCGGGCTGCAGAGATGGCCCTGCCTGGTAGGAGGCATTTTCCTAAAAAACGACGCTAGCCTGTGAATGGATTCATTTTATAAACACCCTGTAAGCACAGTCCATGCAAAGAAGGCTTTTCCTCTCTGATCCTGCTCTCTGGAAAGCTGAGTGAGAGTTAAACTGGGAGGCCCTGGGTCTTAAGTTTCTGACTCTCACAACTTCAAGAGATTGGTTTCTGTTAACCATAAAATAAAATTTAGCATTCCTGAGATTGTTTCCACATAACTTATGAGTCCTCTTGCAGAGAAAATAGGTCTAAAAGCTTTCAAACGATGACTCCAGACTAAACAAAATTATCTCATTTTGATATTCAGAAAAACGGAAGGCCTGGCGGCTAGGCCACGTGCTGATGAAGTGTCTCCCTGAGAGCCAAGAGGGCCTGAGACTCGCCACGTGCAGCTGCTGATGGGGACTGTGACACCCACACAGGGTTCCGTCCTCACAGCTTTCACCACACATTTAGAACAGGAAGGAAAAAAAAGCTCTCCGTGGTTTTGGAGTGTTAGGCTTCCGGTGCAGTTAGGAAATCACCCCACCTCTGAGAGAAATAAGCAAATGCCAAATATCTGTTCCTCAGAACCTCTCGAATTTCTCTTTGAAAATTGTCTGGATTTTTGGTGCAAAATGGAAAAATGTTAAGTCAGACACCAATGCCAGAAAGACCACTGCAGGCAGAAGTGCCGGGGCTGCCCCTGTCTGCTCACCTGCCTCTGGGCCTCAGCCAGGTTGAAGGGCAGAGTTCCCTCCTCCAGAGGAGCGATGCGCTCAATGTCGGCCAAGGTCATCCGGCTGCAAGGGAAAAACAAACACAGGAGACAAGGAGAACAACAATGTATTGCCACTTGCATTACAGGGTTCTAGAAGGTTCCTTCCTTCCTTTCCCGTATGCCAGCATTGCCTTTGACTTGGCTTCTTTTTCTCTGACTGCTGCCCTCCTCCCACCCCCACCTCCTAAACTCCTTTTATTAAGCTAATTAAAAAAAAAGTCAACTTACCCCCTTGGCTCATATAAATCTGCTAACTGAAACAAGATGTCAACTTCCATGGGCGTAACCTGACCAAATTTCTGAGCTGCCAGAACAAACTCCTCTGCATGGAAAAAAAGTTAAAAGGGAAAGATTCAAGAAGGAATAGCCACTAAACTCAGCATTAACTCAAGGTGCTGCAGTGGTTGAGAACCACAGAACTTTATCATCACCAAGTCAATCTAAACAGGGTAAGAGTTTCTGCAGTTCATCACTTGGAAAGAAAACACAGACTATTTTCTCTAACATTTAGTTTAAAAGTTAGGTGCCGTCTGATGATAAATAAGAAAGCATATATGAAACTTCATATGAATGAAGCTGTGGAATTCCAAAGGGAATTCTGTTTTTTGTTTAAAAAAAAATTCCATTAAAATACAGATGATCTCCTTCTCCCAGCATTAGATTGGCTTACATGGTCACCAACACAAGTTTATGGACGTCCTCACGTACTTCTGAAGGCTACTTTACCAGCTGCCAATTTAGCTCAAGCTCTAGCAAGATTTGAAAACATTTAAGAAAGTTTACATGTTTTTCTCATTCAAAGGCTGCCTTCAGTTTATTTAAAACTTGGTGAAGACTGTTTTGTTTGCTTCTGTTGGTATGATCAAAGGATAGAAAGCACACACGTACCATATGGTTAATATGTGTCCGTGGGATAGAAAAATCTATAACGTAAACTCCTGTTGCTGTCTTCACCCTAATAATAATACACCAAGATAACTTGCAGGCAGGGATTCAGATACAGTCTCACTCACCCTTGGTCACCTCCACATCTTTCCTGTTGCCAGCCAGAGTACTGTAGATCTTTCTAATGAGTTCCATGTTGTTAAGGAGTGAATTAAATCCATTAAAATAAGAGAAACTAACTTGATGGGACGTGGTACCTCCAGCAGCCTCAAGTAAGTTAAAAACAAGAAAGAGAAGAAGAATGAAAGATTTCTAGATGAAGAAGATTCAGAAGTCCATACATCTTAGGCTAGTTTGAAAGTAACCAAGCATGCATATATAAGAATAAATGACACAAGTATTTTCCTGTCACATTAAAAAAAGCTATAAATGATTTTTAGTGGTAAGTGCAACTAATCATGACCAGAACTTGCACTCTCTGCACTCAACTCCTAGAAAACTAAATAAATACATGTGTAGGATTATAACAGGGCCAGCAGTCATTCATAGAGTTCAGATTTCAATTGCAAATGTTTTATAAGTTGGTTTATTTCATCTAATGAGCAAATCTTAAAGGCTTATACATGCAAAACTATATTATACACACACATGAGCTTATACGTGAAAACTGTGTTATATCAATGCAAACATACTATGAAAAGTGGCCAATCCAACATTAATATCAAGACTTGTCAAGTTACTTATAAGTAGCAATAAATAATCATTTAGGTACAGACTGTACATTGGTGGGATTTCCAGGAAACAAGCGTATTATGGTAAAATTATGAGATGTCATAGGCTTTCATGGGGGTTGACTGGTCAAAATTCTGATAATCAGAATTTTTCAGAAACCATATTTCTTTACAGGGACATGGGAAACAGACAGTACTCCCATTATGAATGAAACTTCAGTTTGGGGTTTCAAATTCTATCCTTCCCTAACAAGGCAAAATATTTTTATTAGGAAAGCACGTCTTTATAAGGTAACAACCACATAAATCTTCACTTAGTAACCATTTAAAATAGCTGACATGAGAGTTTAAATGGAGCAGGGGAGGGAGGCCAAGGAGTTAGATTAACACAGTGCTGGAGTGGAAAAGGCCTTGTGGGAATGCCACGTCTCCAGAACCCAGCACTGGAGGTGGGGGCAGGGGGGACAGAAACGGAAAGCCTACCCGAGTCCTGCCCATGGTGAGCATTGTGGGAAACTCCCCCATTGTGGGAGACATGGCAGGAAGGCTGGGAGGAGCACCTTCCTGCCATGTCTCTCTCATAGCACCTCACTGCCTGGTACTGCTGACATAGGGGGCAGGGTGAGTCTGTGTTACTTCACAGGGTCTAAACATAGGAAGCCCATATTAGTCTTCCTTCTGGGATTGTAAAGGAAAATTACCCCTGTGTACCAATCCTAAATCCAAGTGATCATCAGAATCTTCTAGAAGTTTTACAGATTAGGTTCTAAGACCTCACCACCTGTAGATGGCACATCACAGGCCTAGAAGAGACTTTAGACTCTGTATTTTTAATAATTGTCTGTGGTGATTCTTATGTCCTGTGAGTAAGGCTTTGGAGCCACCAAAGAACACTGCGGGACACCCATGGGCTGAAAGCAACAGGAATACAGCTGTGCATGTGCCCTGTGGCCTCAACCTGTGCCGTGAATGGGAGAACCGAAGGTTCGAGTTTCTGCTCTGCTGATCATTCCAACAAACAATACATGTGTGCTCAACTTTTTTTTTTTGCCTTGGAGAATACAAAAACAAAAACACCAGAAAAGATCAGTATTTCACATCAAAATATAAAGCAGAATTAACACAAGATCAAGAAAAACTTGTTCTTTTTAACCAGTTAACATATTTCTCTGACATATTCCATACTATCCAGACAACAAATTAAACTACCCAATACAACTCTCCAAATCGCACTCTTTCTTTGAGAGTTTGGTAACATATGTGATTGCATTAAGAACATATTAACGTTTTAAACAGAAAAATACCCTACATAATTTATAAAAATTGTGCTTGTAATCCCTTACTTACTGAACTTAAACCAGAAAGAATAAACTGCTTCTCAGGGCAAATTATAACTTACAGCTACTAGACATTCTTCCACAAAAGGCGTCAAGACATGGGGGCGGATGGTGACCATGATGTCCCGGAAGTCAATGGCTGTGACCCTGCCGGCCTTGGCACTGTCCCGTTGCACAAAGGCTTGCTTTGCATGCTCCAACTGCATTTCCTACAAATAAACAAGGCAAAATACTTAACTGGTACTTTTCACTGAATCACTACAAATGACTGCTCATTTTCAAACCAAGGGATAAAAACAGAGGTCCCATTTTGACTGAAGAACCTGCTTGTTTAATAGTGCCTGCACACCACTGTCTCCTTCCAAGAGAGGGGGACTTTGCTCAGACCAGCGAATATGTCCTGAGAAAGCGCACTCCACCATAAACCTCCCACCCAAAGTAGGCGGTCATTCCCATGCTCTGGGAGAGCGCAGAACACACAGAAAATGAAAGCTGGAACACAGTTCAGCAGGTTCAAAGATCCAGCCAGGCCCAGCCTGGGTGCTGAGATGCTGCAGGAGAGCTGCCTGCAGGGACATGGGCCTTTGTCCAGACAGAGGGGGCCATCCTCAACTGCAGCCTGGCATACAGTGCGTGATGGGCAGCAGGCTGGGAGGAGCGCCTTCCTGCCATGTCTCTCTCATAGCACCTCACTGCCTGGTACTGCTGACATAGGGAGCAGGGTGAGTCTGTGTTACTTCACAGGGTCTAAACATAGGAAGCCCATATGCAGGCCTCTGTCACTGTTCCTGAGAGATACGTGGACACACAAATGAAACAAAACTTGCTGCACGACACGCAGAAGCAGCCCTTCTGCTGCGGCACCTCACAGTGGCTCAGGGTGAGAGCCAGGCTTCCTGCCATGAGAATCGGATGCTGAAGTGCTTTCCAGGACTTCACATTCTTTACGCAAAGTGAGGTTTTATTCGATGATATTAAGGAATTGGTTTTTTAACTTTGGTGAGATAATGATTTAACACATTTATTCACATTGTGTAAAAATATATTGTCCTTAGGAATTCGTGCAAACTTAATTACGAGCAAGATGACACGACCCTGCTGCTGCTTTCAAGTGTCCCACCTCCCCCGTCTTCCCCAGAAGGTAGGGGATGAAGACAGGTAAGACACTGATGCTGACTGCCAGAGGCCGAATCTGGGCCCTGTGGGTCACTACACTCTTCCATAAAGAGGTTTAAGTTGTAAACATTTAAAAGACAAGACCTGGGGGTAAAGGGAGGGGGCACAACATCAGTAAGGTTACCAGATGTCAAACCAGGCAAAGTGGGGACTAAAGGGAAACCCAAGCTTTACCTGTGCAATGATAAATTGTATACTTAATCCTGAATTGTACCCCACGTCTTTAAAAAAAAAAGACAAAGCCGGGCTCGGTGGCTCAGCCTATAATCCCGCGCCTTTGGGAGGCTGAGG